TGTATTTCTTTTATAAAAATCAATAATTAAGTATATTCATTGTTACTTAATCATTTATCGACATATAAATTTATTCTTTGTGCTTTTGCTTGTGAAATTATATTCTTAAATGCATGCTGATGTAAGTCACCAGCTTCTTTTAGGTGCACAAGGCCATTTGTCTCTTTCTCTGGTCTCAGGAGAAAGGTTTATGGATCCTAAAGGCGTCATGAACACATTATGTCCAACACATAGGATACTTCTCTATAAATATGGTCAAGCTATATTGAGCATTGCTACAGTATATTGAACTTTAATTGTTATATTAAACTGTATTCTTTCTATTAAATTTGCTTTCTGAGGAGCAAATGTTATCTGTTTTTCTCCCAAACGAGTGAATGCTTTACCATTATGTTTTGGTACACTTAACTGATAATAAGCCGCTCAGACTCTCTTCAGCCTTGATGGGAGCTCCTATTTGCTAGTGTCCTATGTGAATGCAGTAACAGTGAAAATAATAGGAAAATAGGGATTTTGGTTTTGTGTTTGAGTGTTAAAACATAAAGGGTTCATTGAAGCCAATAGTTTAAGGCACCATGTTGAAGTCTTACTCCAGTTAGACTAAAGTTTAGTGCTAGTCTTCTTGGTTGCAGGTTAAGGAACCACTGCCATTATTGGAGATTGAATGAGTTGTTGTTCTGGACACACTGGCGCCAGCAACCCAAGTCTGTGACCTGGAAGGTCATGACGTGCCTCATTGATGGAGATATGTTTCGTCTATCTGTGTATGTGTGGAAAATTACTGTGTTTATCTATATCGTAGCCAATGAGAATCATTCAACGTGTAAGCAATGACGTAGCTTAGACCTTGAAAATGGTATAACTGCTGTGATTGTTGTAACTGTAAGGGCTACGAACTCCTGAGTGAGTCTTGAAGCTGACTTCTGCTGATGAAATGGCAAACTATGTTCAGTAAAACTTTCTTTAATTTTTTTATAATTCTGACTCCGGGTCTTCATTCTTCATATCTGGTTCTGGGTCCTTAACTGTTAACCCCTAACAGTCGTCATGTCCGAGAACTCGTGTATCACTTGTTATCTGGGGACCTTGTGTGATTTAGAAATTACCCCACCACATCTGAATTTCGTGTGGCGCATTCTCACGGGATAAGCAAAGCCTGTGATTTTACTCAAAATTACTGACTTCGCTCTCTCCTGGAACACGGATATGTCGTCAAGGCTAGCTTACATCTGCTTCCTTGTTTCTCAACATGGCTGCTAGTGCTAAGAAGAAAACCTGACATTGGACGCGGGAGGAGACACTCTGTTTAATCGATGTTTGGGGTGAACCACGTTACCAAAGGCAATTTGAACAAATGGTGCACAACCACACCGTTTGGGAAAGTATTCAAAAAGACCTCGTCCTCCGGTACTCGTCTATACAGGACTTTGGAGATTGGACAAAGTGTAAAGAACGGTTGGACTACCTGCGACGAAAGTACCGTGATAGCCTCAAAAATAACAAGAAGACCGGATCAAACCCCATTAAATGTCCTTATTTTGATGAACTGGACGCTGTTCTCGGTAAGATTAATCATCATTTCCCTTCTAACGTTAGCTAACATAATACTAGTACAGTAATAGCCAATTTAGCCGCTAAAATGCCCTACAAAGGCAAAGCGCAGTAACTGCACATTTGGTCAAAAATGAGTTAAGACTTGTAATGGGCTTTATGACGTGTTCTGTCTTGTGAAAAAAATATCTGGGTTTAATTATGTCCCGTTTCGGAGATGCATTACCACATTATCTACCCATAACATGTTTGACTGGCTGGTATAAAAACTTTAAAGGCCTTTTCTCCGTTTCTTTGTTTGTGTAGCTATTTAACTTACTGCACTTTGCCTTACCATAGCTGATCTAAATAAGTTTGTTTAATTTGATTTCAGCTGATGCTTGTTCTTCTGTTGTTGCTTATTGTTCTGTTTCTCTCTCTTTCTCAGCTGATAAAGGCCAAAGCTGTAGTCGACACCAAGGGCCCCAAAACACCGCCGCATATTAGAGACAATCAGACGAAAGTACAGGTATCTGATTAATTAATATACTTATATTTGCTATATTATATATATATATAGCTCTATAACAGTACTATTGCCGATTACAGTGATGTGTTATGAAGTAACGTGGAGTAGATGAAATGCATGATAATAACAGTGTTTGTCTTCAGTTGCAGAAAGAAAGGAAGATATCTCATGAAAACAAGCAGAACGACCAGCGAATCCTGATGCTGGAATCAGATTTCAGGAGGGAACGCTGGGAAGCTGAATGGGGAAAGGTCCAGCAGTGGAGAGACAACTGCACACGGTTTCCACAAGGAAAGACCAACAAACAGGTATGATCGTAATTCACACTTTATAAAGCGGAGCTAATTTCTTCTTCATTTTCTCACCTTCATCATGTTTCCAACCCTTCTGTGAAACACAATAGCACACATTTTGGATGCTCACGCTGCTCTTGTTAATGCCTGTGAAAAACAGCATGTCAAGTGGGTTCGAAATTATTACTTTAAAGCCCTAAATGGTTTAGCTCCTCGGGACATGAGCGAGATTTATTTTTAAAGAGGCGTTTACAACACAAAAAAACATTGAATATCTATTTATCTGTTTATTTATTCATTTTTAATTTCTGCAGGTTTCGTCCTCCACAAAGCAGAAGCCGTCAGCTCTGTTACCAATGAAGGATTGGGAAGAGCAGTACCAAAAAAAATATGCATCAACAAAAGGTATTAGGGAAAACATTGTGAAAAACAGTTTGTGAATCTTCTGGAAAAATTCCGAATGTGCCTTTTTCTTTTGTGAAAGCAATATTTGCACATTTATTTTATATTTTGTAACAATTATTTACTTTATTTCAAAACACTGTAAGAAAAAAACAGTTTAACAAAAGTTCAAACTTATGTGAATTGCCAAGTTCAGAAATGAAGGATGCTTTACACTATAAATAAATGTTTGACTTCAATTTCACATTTGTCTTGACTGCATAGTTTGTGTATGAGCTTTCAAAGCTTCTCTGCACTACTGATTTGTATTAATATGAGCTACTACGGCCTCCCGGATGTGCTCTGCTGGGGAGAGAGCAGGTACATTAAGTTGCTCTGGTCCTGCCTCTGGCTGATCCAACACATCTTCCTGGGGTTCCTGGTAAGCAACTTTCTGCATTTCACAGAAGTTGTGCAACTCTACACAAGCAGACACGGCATACTTCACATTTTGTACATCAGTACAGGTATGTCGACCCCTTGGATGTTCCTGCTGACTGGAGGGAAAAAGGTACCATCCTCCAGCTTGCGACACAGACGTGAACACTCAAAAATGTATGCATCGTGACACTTCCCAGGCCAACCAACATCAAAATCAAGGAAGCTATAAGTGTGGTCTACAAGTCCTTGAAGAAGAACACTGTACCGTCCTTTTCTGTTGTAGTAGTCAGTGGGATAGCTCGCTGGGGCAATGATTGGGATGTGTGTGCCATCCAAAGGCCCTGCACACATGGGGAATCCCGTCTTCCTCTCAAATGCTGTGATGATGGCTTGGACTTGAGGGACAGTTTTAGGCCTCTTCACAAAAACCCTCCTGAGTTTACTCAGAGTCTCACACATCCCAGAATATATTACAGGCAGTGCTGGTTCCAATACCAAACAGGTTGGCGACATCGTGGAACTCAACATTACTGGCAAGCTTTTAGATTGTAATTGCTACCCTCTTCTCTAGAGGGACTGGCTCCAACATGTTGGTAGTTTGAGGATTGATGTATGGATGCAGCTGGTCACAAAGGATATTGAAGGCTTCTTTGGGCATTCTGAAGTTGAGGTACCAATCATTGTCTCGAAAATTCTGGAGCATCTCTGTTTCCCAAAAGGAAGGGCCTCGCTCCCGTGTTGTTCTCTCATTGTACCATGATTTTGCTATGAAAGAGAGATGGCGGTCAGTACACATAGTCAGTTTGCAGTGTTAATATTCAACACAGATAAAATAAATAATTTGTATTTTTCACTGTATTTTAAGTTTACACATGGGCTAGCAAGATTGATTATAGGTTTTTAAAATAATTATTCACAGGCTTGTTATCATTTAAATTGCCATGTATGCAATTGATAGCTATGATAAATAAACAAAAATACTAATAATACAATTAAAAATAAACTATAACCATATAAAAATAGTTTATACCAATATTATATTTCTTGCAGCCCAGTGGAAATAGTCAAGTCAAGTCACATTTATTTATATAGCGCTTTTCACAATACAGATTGTATCAAAGCAGCTTCACAATGATAACATGAAAGTAGCACAACACAGATCAACAACATTGCTAAACACTAAATAACCCCAACTGAGCAAGCTCAAAGCAAGCCAAAAGCAAGGCGACAGTGGCAAGGAACCAAACTCCATCAGATTGGATGGAGAAAAAACCTTGGGAGAACCCAGGCTCAGTCGGGGGCCAGTTCTCCTCTGGCTTACATTCATATTGTTTAAATATAAATATTAAATATAAATATTGCTTATGAATCAAACGGCGCCATAACATATCGCAGGCGTTGAGTCGTCTCTTCACAGGCGTTGAGTCGTCTCATCACAGGCGTTGGGGCATCCGAAATCCCCGTGAGAGACTGGACACAAAACTGTTGTAGTAGTGAAGGTGAAGATTTCCTAGATTTGGATCTAGGCCTTTACCTGCCCCTTCCCTAAACTTAACCAGATTAGGTTAGATAACGGGATAGACATCCTGGTGGAACACTATGATGAGGCCCTCCGAGAGTCCAGTCGGGGGGTCGCCCATGCCTCCAGAGTACGATGGAGGGAGGCGTGGGAAATTGCCATTAGGTGGACCCGCCGGGCAATTAGAAGCATTCGGGACGAGACGATCCTGAGGGCGGAAGAATTAGTAGGGCAAATGATGCACTGAAAAAAGTGAACAAGGCATGTCATTACTCTAAAGAAGTTTTTATACTTGATGTAACACAAATCAATTAATTTTCTATCTAGCCATCAGTTTTATGTAAAATGTTTGGTTGATTTAAATTAAAAGTAAGTCTTGTTAGTCTAAAGTAAATATATTTCTTTAAATTAAAGTAAAAATATTGGTTTCTGTTGTCACGTGACTTCCAACGTCATCCGTGGTCGTGCGTGAAATGTTCCGCTTTCCGCCATCTTGTTAAACCGCATGGAAGAACTCCGCGTGGGAAAACGGGAAGCAAGAAAATTGGTAAGTAATTTTAAACATATGTTTGGACGTTTTATGAACATTATACATCAGGGCTTGACATTAATTCGCGTGTGGGTTGATGTGTAACAAATTGCTCCCACTATCACTTTGGTGGGTTGAGTCTTCTCAAAAGGCATCTCTTAAACGATAATCGCGTTGCGCATTAGAACAAACACACGCGATTATTTTTAGTTTATGAATGCAATTTCTAATAATCAAAAGTTGTTCAGATTAGTCATCGCTTAAACGCGTAAGATTAGTTCAGAGCGCGCGCGCTCTCTCACTGAAATCTGCACTCAAACCAGAGATGTACGTGCGATGTAGCCTACATCATAGATTCATTAATCATACAGTGATTGACAGTTTTTGTTCTATTTCAGCAGCGAATATAGTTTCACACAAAGATCACAGTAGAACCACAGTGCATTGGACGGGACTGCTATAAAGTTGTCGATGTGCGAGATTGTCATTTAGGGACCGTCTCTAAAGTCAGATACGACACGTGGTATCCACGGTTCTAACTCGTATTGCATTTGTAGAGAATAAATTACAGTCACAAAACCAACTGCAAAGTATTCATTTAGGTGTTCGGTATGATGCACACCTTTTGGGTTTTTGATCAGAGGAACATTTGTTTTACAATCTAGATTTAAGGAGCTTTATACACAACCATATCAGAGATAAAAGGCATTTGATGACCTGTCCTGTTATGCATTTCATGTAGACTTGTGGTACAGTGGTCATTTACATATAGCCAACAACAGATTTTCCAACCAAAACATTTTGTTCAGTTGAAAATGCTGCTGAGTGGTTCGCTCGTTTAACTTTAGAAAACGTTTGAGCAAAAAAATAATGTCAAGCCCTGTTATAGGCTAACGTTACATGTATGATTTCATAAAATATTATGTTGTACTGTTGTTTTACATATGGTTAGTATTACTAGTTTGACTCTCTAACTCGGCTAGAAGGTTTAAAAGTTTAAAAGGTTTGAAAGTTAAAAGTACAGTGCTTGAGGTTAGATGGATTGATATTGAAACATAGTATAAATACTTTTTCGGGTATGCTGGAGTGCGATACTGTACGGCGCCATCGGTGTGCATGAAGGTGGAGGCGCCATGTATAATAATAATATAATATAATAAGTAAATGCACGCTTCAAACGCTTTGTATGGACTTAACATTGTTATGAAGCTTTATTATTATGCGTTCGCAAGATATTTGCTCTGCTTACTGATTATGGTCTCTCATTTATGATCAAATTTAACACTTAATATTAGTTTTACATGAAGGCCAAAACACGTCTTCAGTGACGTGCCTAAACACCTTTTTTAACATATTGCGTCGACCAGCATACCCCGTAAAGAAGTCGTCTGTTTACTTTTATGTGAGCCAATTTGTTAATTATCTTTGTCTTTTGTAGGAAAGGTTACTGAGGAACAACAATTGGGACCGGTCATTTTAAATATTGCTTTGGATGGTCAGGTTTGTAAATCTTTCTTCTCCTATGCTACCTCACCATTCTCATTGGCAAGTAACTCAATGTGGAAATGCAAAGAGTGTGGTGTCTCCAAAGTCAACCGTTCTGAGCTTTTGAAGCATTTTAAGCTTGATCATCGGAATTTTGGACGTCGTCATCCTTATCCTTGTGTTTATTCAGACTGTCCTTGTTCATTTAAATCTTGGAGTTCTCTGAAGAGCCATGTGTCAAGGAGGCATCCTCAGCATCCTCCTCAAAAAGATGCATTGACAACTTATAAATGCTTGCTTTGTGAATACAACCACACGTCATCGTTTAAAGACTACTTCCTTCACATTGGGCAGCACCTGAAAAATTATGAAACAGTTCCTTGTATTTTTCGTGGATGCTCATACAAAACCAATATTTATGGATCATTTAAAACACACAAGGCAAGAAGACACAAATCATTCTCTGAAGAGGACTTAAAGCCTGGCATTGTTGTCAGTGGAAGACCAGTCCCTATTGTTTCTGCAGAAGATGACATTGAATCAGACGAAGATGTCTCACTTGATGAACCTACATCCTCTGGTGTGATAACAGAAAATGCTGAAGACTTGTCCAAAGCTATAGAGCACAAATTAGCCTCAGTCCTATTAAAATTAGAGCACGTTTTTCTTGTACCTGGTGTGGCCATTGATGACCTTTTGCAGGAGTTACAGTATTTAATAAGTACAGTTTCAGTTCCAGTTGTTAATCAAACTATTCACCAGGTACTGCAGGAACATAATTTGCAGATTGATAAAGTTGTTGTAGATGAGTTAGCCACCTTTCTTTGCCAGTCACATCCAATTCAAACAGCAATCAGAGAGCAAGGTCCACTTTCCACTACATGGAAACGGAAGGCATACTACAAAGCCCATTTTTCATTAGTAAAGCCTGTAGAGTATGTGCTTGATCGGAGTGATGGAAGGACATTTCAGTACGTTCCAATTCTACAATCCTTGCAGCAACTTCTGAGTTGCCAGCCAATACTTGATAATACAGTTCATTTAAAAGCAGTGTATAAAGGGGATGAATGTAAATATACATGCTTTTTTGATTCACTCAACTTCAAAAACAATGAACTGCTTTCTGAACCTGCGATCTCTTTAATTTTGTATGTTGATGAATTTGAGATATGCAACCCCCTTGGCACGTCCAAGAAAAAACACAAAGTTTTTGCAGTTTATTGGATATTAGGCAATTTACATGAAGGATGTCAGTCAGCACTCTCTGCTATAAATTTAGCTGCTTTAATTAATAGCAGTGATGTTAAGCGTTTTGGGTATGACAAAGTGCTGGAACCATTGATTGATGACCTTGTCACTTTGGAGAGACATGGACTTTTCATTGAAAAACTTGGAAAGACTTTGAAGGGCACAGTTCAATGTATTGTTGCTGACAATCTTGGTGCCCACAGTATTGCCGGATTTGTGGAAAATTTCTCTGGAAAATATGTCTGCAGATTTTGTACAGCAGAGAAAGAAGAATACCAGACTCAAGAAGTTGGATCTGAAACATTCTGCATCAGAACGGAAGAACTACATTCTGCTCATCTTCAGTTTATGAAAGACAACGACTTGCCTCACCATTTTGGCGTGAAAGGGGGGTGTGTGTTTGCTGAAAAATTATCACACTTCAATGTTTGCACAGGATTCCCGGCTGATGTTATGCATGATCTCTTTGAGGGTATAGTCCCTTTTGAGATCGCTTTGTCCTTGACAGTGTTTTCATCTAAAAAGTATTTCTCCTTGGAACACCTGAATAAAGCAATTCAGAACTTTCCATTCAAATGGAATGACAAGACAAATCGTCCACATACTGTTCCTCTAACATTTTCTGCAAGAAGAACAGTAGGCGGTAATGCTCATGAAAATTGGAGCCTTTTGAGGTTTCTTCCTTTTTTGATTGGAGACAGAGTGCCGTCCAATGAACCTGCATGGCAACTTCTGAATGATTTGAAAGATATTGTAGATCTTGTTGTCGCTCCTTCACACACCAAAGCTTCTATAGCATATCTGGCCTTCAAGATATCTGAGCATAGAATCAGATTCCAAGAACTTTTTCCCGAGACAAAAATTCTGCCCAAACACCACTACTTGGAGCATTATCCTGAGCTAATTGAGAAATTTGGCCCTCTGGTTGCTCTGTGGACAATGCGGTTCGAGGCTAAGCATAGCTTCTTTAAAAGAGTTGTGCGTCACACCAACTGCTTCAAGAATGTGCTTCTGTCATTGTCACAAAGACATCAGTTTCATATGGCATATCATCTGTATCAGTGCAGCTCTCTAACACCAAGATTGGAAGTATCACATGTGTCTAATATTCCCATTGATGTTCTGAATGAAGACATTTCACAGACTGTACAACAGAAACACCCAAATCTGGATGTTGTGTGCTTGTCCAAGGAAGTAACATTTAAAGGTTTCACCTACAGAGAAAGTATGGTCATTGCTCATGGAGAATGTTCAGGACTTCCAGAGTTTGGCGAAATTGTGCAAATTATTGTGTTGCATGACAAACCACTGTTCATTGTCAGAAGACTTGATGCATGGTATACTGAACATTATAGAGCCTATGTCTTGGTCCAGTCATCTGACAAGCGAATTGACCTTTTAGAGCACCATGATCTTACAGACCCATATCCACTTGTTCAGTACACAATTGGGGGAAGACGCATGGTGGTTCTGAAGAGATATATACATGTTTGAGGTTAGAATTTTTTATAAATTCTAAGAAAAGTGCACAAGATTTAGTGAACATGTAAATGTCTGGCAATTATTTAACACTTGTACAGTATCTAATCTTATTTATTTTGTTTTTCCAGAATCTGTTAGCATGTCAGGAAGAAGACCTGCCAAGCTTTTGGTGATTGTGGGTGAAGATGATTCTAGAAAGTTGCTTCTTCCAGATGGGATTCCCGAATCAGTGGATGAGCTGAGTAAAAAAGTGAGGGAAGCTTTTGGATTAAATTGTAGATTCAGACTACAGTATCTGGACAAAGATTTTGGGGATGTATTTGTGAATTTGATGGACACTGGAGAACTTCAGAGTCTTGGCACTCTAAAGATTATCCCGTTGCCAGACGAAGACTCATTCACTGCTCAAACAAATGATTTGACCCAGATGACCAATGATGATGCTTTGTCCTCCGTTGACTCTGGCGACACTGATGATACAATCATCCTCTCACCACCTGGCTCAGAAACAGTTTCTACAAGAAATCAACAGTGGCCAAAAGAATTTAATATTCCACGCTTTTCTTATGACACCGAACTCCAATTAGAGAGGGGAAATTCTCTTTTTAAGGCCAACGGAACAAGGCTGACTGTCACTCCAAAGATGAAGTCTGATATTCTGGAGAAGGTTTGTGATGAGATATACAAATATAAATCTTATCCCAGCAGTTTAAACTTCTGTGAAGTTTCAGAGGCACTTGTAAAGAAACACCCTTGCCTAGCAGAAAAGGGCTCCTTCAATGGGTGCTATGGGTGGACACAGAGACTAAAAATGAAGATGGGAAACCTACGCACACAGTTGAAAGGTCTTGGATGCCCTGAGTATTTGGTAAATTCTCTCAAAACCAAAGCCTCCGACCATGCTTTTCCGGCAAAAAATGTTAAACGACCTAAACGTGGTGAGGCCAATCATATCCCATCCCTACCTGCTGGAGAGACATCAGCAAACCTTGAAATTGAGCGCCTGGCACTTGAAAAGGAAGTGAAGAAAAGAAACAATGCATTGACAATTAGAGAAAAAATGACTAAGACATTTGCCTTGAGCAGACAAGAGATTGTGGAAAACCAACCTAGTGTTCAAGAACTTCAAGAAAGATGGCCAGCTCTGTTTCAACAAGAGGAGGTAAAAGCATTTATTTGTAATGAAAATTTTTAAAATGTGACTAATCCTGAATTTACCATAGTTTTTATAATGTTATTTTAGTATGTAGTATTTTTGTAAATGTCTTGGATGCCCTAATTATAACTTTTGTTGTTTAATGCTTGGTGTCTATGTATTTTTTACAACTAATTCTGAAAGTAAAATCACTTTTTTTCTGTTTCTCTTTCTTGTAGATTAATGCCGAATTTTTTCGTATCACGACCTTACCTTTGCAATCAAGATTTATGGCCTCTTTGGACAGACAGAGCTCTCAGCTTCTCCAGGTTATCAGGAGCAAAGGTGGACTCCTTCGTGAAAAAACTAAGGATGTTATAAAAGTAATGGATCAGGTATTGGTTGCATGTGAACAAAATTGCTTGTGGCAATCAATTTAGTAGTGTTTTGGTCTAATAAAAACAATACATTTTGAACATTTTGTAGAGTCCGGACATGGACGTCAGAAGAGAGTGCCTGCTGAAGTGCCTGATCATGTACCTTGGTGAAGATGCAAGCTGTCTGATCAAAGAATACCAGGTAATGTAGACAAGGCAAATTGCTGAAATTTTGTCCTACCATGTTTGCCTTAAAGTTATATTTCACTACCAAGTCAATATTTCCCCATGTTTTACTCGCCCTCAAGGCATCCTAACTGGTTACAGTAATATTCTTGAAGAACAAAACTGGCAAATTTATAATCCTACTTATCATTTTTACTTCAAAGCGGTAGATAGGAGTGAATTGTTGAATTTTTGAAGCTTCAAATAGTTTATCCATCAATTGAAAAACTGCTTAAAGGGTAAGTTCACCCAAAAATGAAAATTAAGTCATTAATTACTCACCCCCATGCTGTACCAACCCCGTAAGACCTTCGTTCGTCTTCGGAACACAAATGAAGATATTTTTAATTAAATTTGAGAGCTGTATAACTACCACATTGGCTCCTAAGGCAGTGTTTCCCAACCCTGTTCCTGGTGGCACACCAACACTGCGTGTATTCTTTGTAACCCTTATCAAACACACCTGACTAAACCCATCAGCTCATAATCAGGTGGGTTAATGAGCTGATGAGTTAAATCGGGTGTGTTTGATTAGGGAGACAAAGAAAACACGCAGTGTTGGTGTGCCGCCAGGAACAGGGTTGGGAAACGCTGGCCTAAGTGACTGGCTCTTGACGGCCCAGAAAGTCAATGAAGAAAATGTTTAAATATTCCAAGTGACAACAGTGGCTCAACTATATGTTTATCAAGCGAAGAGAATACTTTTTGTGCGAAAAAACAAACAAAAATAACGACTTTATTCGACTATTTCTTTTCTTCCTTGTAGGCCAGAACTAGACTTCCTTAGATTTCCACGATGCATGCGCAAGAATTGCGATCTCCTTCAACTACTTCAGTTCAGTTCTCACGCATGCGTCGTGGAAATCTCTTGAAGTCTCGTTTCAGGCCAACAAGGAAGAAAAGGAATAGTCGAATAAAGTCGTTATTTTTGTTTGTTTTTTTCGCACAAAAAGTATTCTCGTCGCTTGATAAACTTATAGTTGAGCCACTGTAGTCACATGGAATATTTAAACATTTTCTTCATTGACTTTCTGGGCTGTCAAGAGCCAGTCCCTTAGGAGCCAATGTGGTAGTTATACAGCTCTCAAATTTAATCAAAAATATCTTCATTTGTGTTCCGAAGATGAACGAAGGTCTTACGGGGTTGGTACAGCATGGGGGTGAGTAATTAATGACTTTATTTTCATTTTTGGGTGAACTAACCCTTTAACACGGCTCTGTGGTCTTAACAAAGGTCTACTCAAGCCTTGAGGGTGAGTAAGTTTGGTAGTGACATATCGCTCAAAAGTAATTGTTATCATTTACACATTGGCCTGTGTGACTTTCTACCACAGATTACAAAAGAATGTATTTTGAAGAATGTTTAAGGAGTAGTTCACTTTAAAATAAAGTTTTGCTGATAATTTCCTCACCCCTATGTCATCCAAGATGTCCATGTCTTTCTTTCTTCAGTCGAAAAGAAATTAAGGTTTTTGATGAAAACATTCCAAGATTTTTCTCCATATAATGGACATTCAATAAACCCCAAACGGTTCAAGGTCCAAATGAGTTTCAATTTTCTGTTCTGTGATGCGCGTTCGTGACATCACGTAATACACAATTACGTTTAAACGAACGCAGAGCAAGACGAGCATTTGTGCTTATAAACGTATTATTTTTTTAAATGCCCGATCGTTTTGCTTGATAAGACCCTTATTCATCGTCTGGTGTCGTTTAAAGCCCTTTGAAGCAACACTGAAACTGTCATTTGGACCTTGAACCGTTTGGTTCCCATTGAAGTCCATTATATGGAGAAAAATCCTGGAATGTTTTCATCAAAAACCTTAATTTCTTTTCGACTGAAGAAAGAAAGACATGGACATCTTGGATGACATGGGGGAGAGTAAATTATCAACAAAAGTTTTTTTTTTAAGTGAACTAATCCTTTAAGAGCCCCCCATTCACTTGCATTGGTTTTGTGTCCATACAATAACAGTGAATGGGGGCTGTGCTGTTCTGTTACCAACGCTGTTCAAAATTCTGTAATTCATACAGGTTTGAAATGACAAGAGAAATTTAAACAATGACAGAATTTTTATTGTGAATTACTCCTTTAATAGGGGTTGGTTCACCCCAAAATGCATTTTTAACACTGTTGAGTGGATTGATAAATGCCTCTGATTGGCCATTATGGTACTGCACTCAACAAATATTTCTGTGATTGTCTACAATGGTCAGCAACTGGGAGCATTTGATTGTACAAGTGTTTAAAAGCAATTTCAAAGCTAAAGAGAGTGTAAAAGTATGTCTTCACCCAAAAATGAAAATTGTCATCACTTACTCTACTCTTGTAATAAACCCTACAAATTTTTTTTTTTTACACTGAACACAAATGAAGATATTTTAATTAAAGTTAACAACAGATGTTTGGGCTCTACATTGACCTTTATAGTAGTACAGCTAACTAAATTTTGGGGGTGGGTTTTTTTCTTCTTCTTCCACAGTCCCTCAATTGCTCTCTGTTTTTGTATGTTTTTAGGCTGACCAGAGGGAGGAAGCGGAGAGAGAATTTGAAAAGACCACTATGGCATTTTTTGTGATCCGTGAAAGTGATGCTCTTAGTCGTGTGCTGGACATTTCCATTGTCATTGAAGGTGTGGAAGTACTGAAGGAGTTGCCCACTGTTGCCTGTGCCTGTGCCATGATGTTTGGACTCGTTTATGCACTGAACCTAAAATATCCTGAAGGACTCAAATATACTTTTGAGGCCTTTCAGAAAATCATCATGGACATAGAGAGTAAGCAGATGAGCCGAAGGGTGCAGAACCTCTCTTCAAAGCTGCAGGAGTAAGTTGTTTCCTTTGACCCAACTACAATGTTCTGCTGATGGTAAATGTCTTTGAAGATGTTGAACTGTATAAAGCCTTTTATACAAAACTGTTCACTAAACCTGATTTGCTTTATGTTAGGTAGGTTAGTTGAATAGTTTACCCAAAAATGAAAATTCTTACGTTGTTTTCTTATCCTTAAGCTATTCAAGTATTTAACTATCACTTTAAATTTGGCTCAGAGACATTTTATAAAAATTATGAGAGAAGTTTCCATTTTTGAGTAAACTATTCCCTGAAGGTGAAAATGCTTTTTTCTTTCTACCATTCACTAAATTGGTAGGTGTTTTATTAAGTGTTTGGTTTTACACTGCCCATTTTAAACCAGTTTTTGGGCCAAACTTGTTTAAACTTCAGAAGAATTCTAAAGGTCAACTAAAGGTCAGTTTTTCTTACAGAATTTCAGAATTCTCAAGATTTTGTTCTAATTTCCTGTTAATGGAAAGATTACAGAATTCTAAAGATTTGATAGTGTAGTCGGTTCTAAGTGACTATTAAAGGGTTAGTTCACCCAAAAATGAAAATTAAGTCATTAATTACTCACCCCCATGCTGTACCAACCCCGTAAGACCTTCGTTTATCTTCGGAACACAAATGAAGATATTTTTGATTAAATTTGAGAGCTGTATAACTACCACATTGGCTCCTAAGGGACTGGCTCTTGACAGCCCAGAAAGTCAATGAAGAAAATGTTTAAATATTCCATGTGACTACAGTGGCTCAACTATAAGTTTATCAAGCGATGAGAATACTTTTTGTGCGAAAAAACAAACAAAAATAACGACTTTATTCGACTATTCTTTTTCTTCCTTGTTGGCCTGAAACGAGACTTCAAGAGATTTCCACGACGCATGCGTGAGAACTGAACTGAGGTAGTTGAAAGAGATCGCAATTCTTGCGCATCTCTCGTGGAAAAATCTAAGGAAGTCTCGTTTCAGGCCAACGAGGAAGAAAAGGAATAGTTGAATAAAGTTATTATTTTTAAAGGTATTATTTTTGTTTGTTTTTTCGCACAAAAAGTATTCTCGTCGCTTGATAAACTTCTAGTTGAGCCACGGTAGTCACATGGGATATTTAAACATTTTCTTCATTGACTTTCTGGGCTGTCAAGAGCCAGTCCCTTAGGAGCCAATGTGGTAGTGAGACAGCTCTCAAATTTAATCAAAAATATCTTCATTTGTGTTCCGAAGATGAACGAAGGTCTTACGGGGTTGGTACAGCATGGGGGTGAGTAATTAATGACTTAATTTTCATTTTTGGGTGAACCAACCCTTTAAGGAAAGCTTGCATCTTTCTCTTCGAAGCCATAACTGATTCTTATGGTGAATTTACTTTGTATTCAATGTGTCTATGTATACTGTATGTAAAACAATACACATTGTAGAAATGTTTGACAAGAATTGTCAAGTTTGATGTTTACACTGTTAGACATTGTGTATGAGGATACTGTAAAAAAAAAAGTTATGACAAAATAAATTGTCAAAAGTTTGATGCTTGAAGTCATTTTTCTTAAACGATAAAATTACACATTCTGAAAGTAAATAAATTTCTTTATATTACATTAATATTTTAAATTGTATTTTTATGGATATTTGGTTTGATGTAAAGTACAATAAGTCAATACAACTTAAGAAAACATTAAGACAAAGTATAATTTGATATTTCATTAAACTTAAAAACTTTATTTGATTCAAAGATTAATTTTTACTTTAGCTAAGTAATGGATGGTTAATTCTCTTCAAAGTAAAAATTTTAAGTTGATAAAAAGTAAAGCAATTAGATGTAACCAGTTGACGCAATTTTTTTACTTTGATCTAATGAGACACTTTTTTCAGTGTGTCTAGGGAGGACCCCCAGCCAGAGGAGGTGGCGGGGGATAGACCCCGGAGGGCCATTATTGTCCATATCGAAGAAGAGGGGGCCCAACTTCCTGCTCAGGGGGGAGGAAAAGTCAGAGTCCTGGAAGGGGAAACAGCAGGACGCAGGGTACAACCAAGAACACAGGAAAAGGCGCAGGAAGAGCAGCCGGGGCGCCGCAAGACTCCAACACCAAGGGAAGAGAGGAGAACGGAAGAGGAAAGGGATAACCTGGGGTCAAGTCCGGAATATGGTATAGAGGAATTTTTCCAATTAGAACAGGGGGATCAGGTGGTGGTCCCCTGTAAAAAGACGACAGTCGGAAAGTGGATGAGACCAAGAGGGAGAGCGGTTACGACAATTCCAGTTGAGGGTCGGATACGGGTGCAGGAGTCGGTCACAACTGAGGGAGAAACGGGCCAGGAGGAAAACATGGACTGGCTTCTGGAGGAAGAGGAGAAACAGGGGGAGTCTGAGGCCCCTGTTGCCCCAGCGGCCCCAATAGCCTCATCAGCCACGGCAGCTCCAGCAGCCTCCAAAATCCCACCTCCAGTCTGGAGCTTACATATAAGACATGAGGGGACTCGGGATAAATTTGTAGTGTGGAACCTAGTTCCGAATAGGGAGATTTTGTTAATCGGGTGCTCAAATTTGTCGAGACTTCCGACCACTAGGAGGGGTAATATGGAGGCCCATAGTTTCCCGGGGGCCAATATGGTGCATGGGGCACACATTCGAAGGAATAAAACTCCAACGTTCCCAAAGGCCAAACAGGTCATTCTGTCGTTTGGTCTGAATGATAGGATTCAACCAAATAAAACGGTGGCAGAGGAGAACATCAAAAAATTGTTAGAGGCGGCCAAAGGGACCTTCCCGAATGCGGGGATACTATGATCAATTATAATAAAAACTTGCCTAAAGAACAAGTGGGCAGTTTGGAGATGCTTAACAGGTTAATTTTCGACTCAGAACACGCTATCCTGAAGTTGGAAGAAGAGAAATATTCGACAGTAGCGGACAGGATCCATTGGACCCCAGGGACGGCAGCTGCCATGCTGAAACATTGGATGCAGCATTTAAACGCGTAGGGGGTACCTACCACCAGGGCCCCGACAAGAAGAAGAGAGGAGTCGAGGAAACTGAAAAAATTAATAAAAACAAGGGCTCTGTGATCAATTTGTCTGAGCATTTTTTACTCACACCGGCACAGATTGGATTATTGAACAGGGGATTATCATTTATTCCGTCTCATTTGATTAAGAGATTGGGTAGGGAACCTTTGCTGGCCGATTTGGGGCAATTCCATACTAAAATACAGAGAGCACTCTTTTTTGGATCTAGAGAAGATTCGGGGACACCAATACGGCCTTTTTGTGTAAAATCGGGATGGACTCCCCCACCTCATAAATTGCCCGGGGAGGTTTGGGATTTTTTCGATAAGAATTTCGAGGGAGTGCAGGCGGCGTTAGCAGGAGCACAAGTTACAGCACCTAATTTACCTCCGGATGGAATTAAGGCATTAGAGGGGTTGACGCAAAGACGGGACATCGTGATCAAACCCGCAGACAAGGGCAGTACGGTGGTGGTAATGGATAGAGCACGGTATGTACAAGAAGGGCTAAGACAATTGACGGACGAATCTTTCTACTCAAAATTAACCGCCCCTATTTTTATGGAATCAATACCTCGCATTGAAAGGGTGGTAAATACCTTGTTGAGGTCAGGATCTATTTGTAAACGGCAAGCAGATTATTTACTGGGAGAGGTCAGGCCTAGATCCAGGAGATTTTATTTGCTTCCCAAGGTTCATAAGCCCCGGGAGAAATGGCCTAATCCTTTCATACCTCCGGGGCGTCCAATAGTATCGGACTGTGGGAGTGAGAGTCATAGGGTGGCGGAGTTTATTGATTTTTACCTTAATCCCTTATCTACTAAGCATTTTAGTTATATTAGGGATACCTATGATTTCCTTGAAAAGGTGAAAAGGTTGAAAGTGCCATCAGGGGCATTTTTGTTCTCACTAGATGTGGAAAGCCTTTACACCAATATTGAGACGCCCTTAGGTCTGAAGGCAGTACGAGACTGTTTTGCCAGATTTCCCGATGCTTCTCGGCCGGAAGGAGCAATTCTAGAATTATTGGAGCTGAGTTTGACTCGGAATGATTTTGAATTTGAGGGAGAGTACTTTTTACAGATTAAGGGCACGGCCATGGGGAAGAGGTTTGCACCGGCCTATGCAAACATTTACATGGCCCAGTGGGAGGATACGGTTTTTCCCAAGTGTGAGACGGTCCCTTTTTCCTACTTCCGTTTCCTAGACGATGTTTGGGGAGTATGGGTGGACAGCAAAAAGGATTTTGACACCTTTTTAGGGGTGTTGAATTCTCACCATGCTTCTATTAAAGTTTCAGCAGTATTTCGGGAGCAAGCAAGCAAGGATCTGTTCACGGGAGGAGGATTTTCAGGAGGCTAAGTGCACATTGTTCAGAGCTCTCAGGACCAGGGGATACTCGAGGTCTCGACTGAGAACAATGTACAAAGAATATGAAAGGAAGTATGGATCACGGACAGATTTGAGGCCCGAACCCTCAAGGGAGGAAAAGGTTTTAGTTCCAGCCATCTTCTCATTTTCGCCGGAAGCGATCAGATTTTCGAGGGAGATCAGAAAAAATTTTGTAGGGACTTTGGCAGACACACCGGAGGGACAGGAGGTTAAGCTCTTAACGGCGTACAGGAGGAATACGAATTTGGGGGATCTGTTAGTTCACAGTCGGCTTCCCAAGGAGAAAAAACGAAAAGGGGAGAGAGCAGGCTTTTTAAGGAGGCCCCAAACCATTAAGGTTCAAGGCCAGCCTACTGCGTATTTTCTTCCGAATATCCCGCTAAAAACGGAGAACTGTATCTATGCGATACAATGCGGTCGGTGTGGTAAACAGTATGTGGGATAAACGAAGAATTCCATCCGTACTCGTTTGTACCAACACAGGTATGTGATTCGGAAGGGTTTGTTGAACACAAGCAGGCGTGCGTTAGTGGAACATTTCCAGCGACATCGGGTGCATAAACTGCAGATACGGAGTTTAGAACATAATCCAAATTGGACCTTGAGGCAGAGGTTGAGTAAGGAATATATTTGGATAAACATATTAGGTACTTGGGTGCCAAATGGCCTCAACGAAAGGAGGGAGGTCGTAAGAATCTAGACCGGAGCATTTTTTGTCAGAGAACAAAAAACTGAGAGACAAATCTAGGTTATAATTTTCCAATTGGAAAAGTGGGGCAAGAGATGATGATAAGGAGAATTCTGGAAAAATGTTTCTGAAATTTACCTCTTTTTCTGAGCCCTTTTTAAACAAGTTAGGCTTTGTCTGGAGGGTCTAGATTTTTATACCTCCCATGATAGCTCGGTGGGGGTCATACGGGGTGGAGTTCTTGGCCTATGTAGGAGTTGGATCCAGGTTTCTACCTTCCCCTTCCCTAAATTCAACCATAGTTGCCCGGTGGTTTTCATATCTAGTTGAATGTGTTTGGGCCTATTGGGATTTGGATCTAGGCCCTTTTCCTGCCTTTTCCCTAAAAATTAATCATAGGAGCACTAAAAGTGTGTCCACACCCAGTTGAGCGTGGCTTGGCCTATTTAGATCTGGATCTAGGCTTTTCT